TACCTAATATGGATATTACGTTTCGTTTAACTCAAAGAGAAAATAATGTTATAATCAAGATAAGATGTTGACATTCCACACTACTTCAAACAAAAGGTTAGGAAGGAAACCCCATCAATATTGGAAAGAGCGATAACAGTTATGGACTTGATAAAACTATTTTCCTGAGAAATTGTTTTAAGAGAAAGATTTTGTAAATTTCATGAGCGGGGGTAGTTGGCGGGCACCACAGTCGGGATTGTTTATTTTATTAAGTTTGAAGGGTGAGGCTTTCAACGAGGTACTTTTGTACCGTCAACTGGAAATCATCTAAGAGGACTGGGTTACAATATAGGTATTTCTAACCTGGTCCGATCTGCAACATTATGTGATGCATTTATAAAAACTTGTCCCCATATGAAGCCAATTTGACTGTGATGTAGATGTCTAGTATAGCTTTATCAGACTGTGTGTATTTGGTTCCGTATATTTATACCCCAGCGTCATTTTAATGACGTTTTCACACTCTCACACAACAACAACCACCACCACCACTACCACAACAACAACAACAGCAATAATAATAATAATAACAATAATGATAATAATAATAAAATGAAGGCTATCCCGTAGTAACATACAGCTTCAACATTATTAAATGGAAGTTGAATGACATTAAAAGATTGGACAACAAAACCAGAAAAATGCTTATCCAAATGAGGATGCACCACCTGAAATCAGATTTTGATAGGCTGTACGTACTAAGAGTTTTAGGAGGCTGAGGTCTAGTCAGCTGCATTCGTTTATGGCCGAATTCCCTTGGGAAAGGCACGAATCTATCTCTTCTCTCTCCCCACTACTTATGAGTTAAATAGCAGTGTAGACTGGGGTTTTTAGCCTTGGTTAGTAGGTAACCGAAGAGAACGATTATTCTGGATTCGAAATTCTAGGGAATACAACAAAAAAAAACACTCCTCTATCTTACCCAAGAACTTATGGCAATTCAAAGATAATAATAATAAAATAATAATTATAATTGGACCCCAAGATCAGAAAAATGCGTACCCAAATGAGGGTGCACCACCCGAAATCTGATGTTGATAGGCTGTACGTACCAAAAACTTTAGAACGCCGATGTTTAATACAACTTGAACTAACTCTAAAAGCTACAACAATCGGATTGGAAGCATGCCCCACAAAAATCAATGACTCTCTCCTACAAATAGTAAAACACAAAATCCACACCAACATCAAGGAGGTTTTATTCTTCAGGAAACAGCTTAATATACCTGAAACCCTACCAACAAAAACGAAGCGAATACCATCTACGGCAAACGAGTAAAACAGAAAGCAAAACAACTTGGCCAAATGAAATTATATAACAACTTGGAGAACAAGATGTTACATGTCAAATACCTAAAAAGAAAGAAAGAAGCAAATGTGGTCCAACTGAGGAGCACTGCTTTGAACGCTGAGGCAGAATGTCTAATTATTGCAGCTCAGAACCAAAGCCTCACAATTAGATCCTATCACTGTCACATAATCAAGAATGGAGCTAACCCGAAATGCAGGATCTGCGGAAAATATGACGAAACTGTCGACCATAATATCTCAGGATGTCCGGAACTAGCCAAAAATGAATATACCCACAAACATAACAAGGTAGCGACATATATGCAATGGAAGATATGCAAGAAGCACAAAATCAAAACGACAGAGGGATGGTATGAGCACCAACCAGACATAGTTATTCAAAATAACGATGTAACTATCCTCATGCCAATTCAAAATGATGGAAATAAAAGCCAACAGACCTGATATTATAAAATGCAAGAAATTCAGGAAGTGTATGCTTATTGACATAGTAGTACCATCTGAGAGGAACACTTCCATGAAAATTATTGAGAAATTGTCCAAATACAAGGACCTGGAGATCGAGATTAACAGGATGCGCGGAATGAAGACTGAGGCTAATAATAATCAGAACTCTGGGCTTCGTGACAAAATGAATGGACGATTTTACTAACAGTGTCCCAGGTAATACCATCATCTTGCCCAGAAGATCGTCCTACTAGGAACATCCCATATACTAAGAAAAGCGCTATCAATTAAATGACAATTCTCCTATAGGGCCTAAGTACCATAGTTTGGACCTGGTTCTACAGGATACAAAGCTGGAAACATACACAAATGATAATAATGATAATATAGTGGCTTACCAAATATTATTCTGTTTTATACAAAAACGTATTAGAGCGCAGATAAATTAGGTTTCCTGTATTGTTGAAGTTTTTATTTGTTCTTCATACCGAATTAGTCTGGAGGTTGTAATTATAAATGGCTGACACGTACATCTCACATGGTCCTTGTAGGGCTCTTAGGACGTCCAAGATACACGTGTTACATTAATTATGTTCGTTTTAATAGAAATGATTATGTTTTATTGAATTACAGTCGAGTTCATTACATTTACTTTCCGTCTCTTCTCCGTACAGCTATGGGTTAAATAGTTGGAAAAACTAAGCTTTGTTGGCAACCAGTCTATGACAAGGACAACTCTGAATTTCTGAACTCGGGTAGATGGAACTCAGCGTGAGAGCACGTAGTCGTCTAATAGAAAGAGAAAAACTAACACAAAACCAAACCTTCCTCACATTCGGAGGTTGGGCCTGTGACTAATCTCCACATCCTGATGGGTAATTTAATTACAGAAAACCTCGCCTTATGTACCACATGGCACTAGGCAGATTGTTTCGATCATTTTAGACAGTGAAATAAAATTATATAAGAAACTGACTGAAACCTATAACCACTAAATACAAAGACTTCTGCAACAGTCCAAACTGAACCGCATTCACTAATTTTTTTACAATAATTTTCAAGCCGACAAAGTTGTTAAAAAAACAACAACAATCGTAATGTGTTGTCAAAATGTGGCGCTGAGTCAGAATGTCTCTCACGGTCTGTCTTCAAAACCTTCCAATTTATTTCCGTTGTCACTCTATGTCTCTCTATTTCTCTATATTGTTTCTATTCCACTTAAATCGATTATTCGCGACAAGGCTCTTGCAGGCACATGTGCATATAGTGTTAGCTCAGATTCTTAAAAGAACACCACATATTCTTTAAGTGGTTGCACTTGTAACGTCATTTCCGCGTAGCAGACGTCAGAAATCCGGAAGGAATGATATAAGACTTTGGTACAGCCTCTCGAATTTCAGCCATTTGTTGAATGGACAAACTGAGAGATCCACATATCTGATAAAAGTATGGACAAACTGAATATTCATTCTGTCAAGTGTACATGTGTGCGCGCTAACCTAACCACACGCATCTCGTGATACACATTATAAAATAGAGATTTTTTTTTAATGATCTTTCAGGACGTAGGTGATCATGGCCGCATATTCCTTTTCCTTTATCATCCATGAGTTATAGGGAAAGATAATGGCGTTACATTAGTTGTCTTCTGAAGGATTTTGAATTCAGCATTTTTCTCCTTTTACTCGTTACCACCCAAGGCTGGAGAGCCCAGTCTACCCTACTATATAACCCATATTTCTTGTTACCCAGAAAGGAACAAGAGATAGGTACATGTATTTCCCAAGGTTATTTGCACGAAAGAAAACAAAACAAAACAAACACACACACACACACACACACACACACACACACACACACACACACACACACACATATATATATATATATATGTGTGTGTGTGTTTTGATTACATTAAACGTTATTTCTAGTGGATACTCATATTTGAGTAGATGTTCTGTTTATTATTTAAATAATAAAAATACATTACCTATTTAGAAGTATATATATGTGTGTGTGTGTGTGTGTGTGTGTGTGTGTGTGTGTGTGTGTGTGTGTGTGTGTGTGTGTAAGAATGTATATTTCTTCAAAAAGGATACTTATACTTAACACCAGGAAGAGACAGTTGATATTTTTAGGGCACCAAATGAGAATAGTAGTCGAGGAAATTAATGCCTAACCTTCCTAGCGAGCTTTCAGTAAATGCCCTGGGTAGCTACTGGAAGACCCTATGTCTGGAACACGACTGCGCACCGTGGTATACAAGCAGAAGAACCCAATAGGAAGATTAATGAAGGCATAACGTCGCTATCACTGGTGATCACTTCAAATGCCATGATTTTGCTTGGATATATCATCCAACTCTTTACGAATTCTCTGTACAGTCCTCAGATTGAATAACCCAAATATCCTGAAATGTTCCTATTGGAGCTTCTGGCGTGAATGCCAAGTAGTACAGCATGTCGTTTCCAAATCTCTGGCGGAGTGAATTGCGTCATGATGCTTTTTCTCACATATTGTGCAGTCGATAAAATGAAAAACAAACAACGCGCATGCGCGAAATTAAAAATACACATGGCGTCAAATTACCCGATTCATTCCTCGAAATTTGTAGGTCATATTTATAGCTAATAGACATTTGGGGGCCTACATTGGCTTGATGTTTGACAAATTCGTTTGGCAAATTATTTCACATATATAGGGACTTTGATCCTCAATTGGTGCCTCACTACTGTGGCCTTTTGCAGAACTTAAGTAGATATTCATAGCATATTGGTATTGTAGATTTTACAAGTATGCGAATGCATTGAAGATTGGAGATTGAATTGAGAAGCCTGCGTTATGTCAATATTTCACGTGGAGAGGACCATCCTGTTTTAAAAACCTTCAATTAAAGTCCACGTTTTCATGTCTCTAAATTGATTGGTAAGTAAATATGGACTAAACGTAATCTTGCCTATCACATGCCCAGAAGAGGGACCAATCTATGATAGATAGATAGATAGATAGATAGATAGATAGATAGATAGATAGATGTGTTGGTGATGTCTGGTACTTGATAATTGCAAACTGGTGATAACATTGCTTCTCAAGAAGGCTGTTCATATATCACTAGAAAGTTTTGTGTCTTACGCACGCAGCCTGTTCGTATTTGTTTCTTGTAAACATAGCAGTCACGTTTAGACTGCGCCAACCAGAACATGCTGTTGTTCACTTCCTCTTGCAAGTCTCCTTTACTTTCTAATCGTACTTTTTCTTTCTTTGATATTCTGGTATTTCTTTCTTTCTTTCGTTTACTTATCTGTTTTACTTCCGTCTCTTTCTTTCTTTCTTTCTTTATTGCTCGCTTGCTTTCTTTCTTTCCTTTCTTTCTTTCTTTTTTCTTTCTTGCTTTCTTTCTTTCTTTCTTTCTTTCTTTCTTGCCTTTCTTTCTTTCTTTCTTTCTTTCTTTCTTTCTTTCTTTCTTGCTCGCTTGCTTTCTTTCTTTCCTTCTTTCTTTCTTTCTTCCCTTTCTTTCTTTCTTTCTTTCTTTCTTTCTTTCTTTCTTGCTTGCTTGCTTGCTTTCTTTCTTTCTTTTTTCTTTCTTGCTTGCTTGCTTTCTTTCTTTCTTTCTTGCTCGCTTGCTTTCTTTCTTTCCTTCCTTCTTTATTTCTTTCCTTTCTTCTTTCTTTCTTTCTTGCTTGCTTGCTTTCTTTCTTTCTTTTCTTTCTTTCTTTTTTCTCTCTTGCTTGCTTTCTTTCTTACTTTCTTGCTCGCTTGCTTTCTTTCTTTCTTTCTTTCTTTCTTTCTTTCTTTCTTTCTTGCTCGCTTGCTTTCTTTCTTTCCTTTCCTTTCTTTCTTTCTTTCTTTTTCTTTCTTTCTTTCTTTCTTGCTTGCTTGCTTTCTTTCTATATTTTTCTGCTATGTTTCACTTCTGATTCTTTACTTATTTATTTCTTCTGCTGTTTCACTGTTTCACTCCTGCCTCTTTCTTTTTTCTTTCTTTCTTTCTTTCTTTCTTTCTTTCTTCTGCTGTTTCACTAATATTCCTTTCATTCTTTCGTTTGGTTTCTGTTTCATTCTGATTCTTTCTTTCTTCATTTTTTATGGTCTATGTTTCTCGTCTGCTTCTTTCTTTCTTTTTTCGTTTTTTGATTGTTTGTTTCTTTCTTTCTGTCTTTCTTACTTTGTTTCTTTCTTCTGCTATCCCTCTGATTCACTTCTGACTCTTTCTTCCTTCCTTCCTTTCCTTATTTATATATTTTCTACTATATGTTTCACTTCTGATTCTTTATTTATTTATTTCTTCTGCTGCTTCACTCCTACCTCTTTCTTTCTTTTTCCTTTCTTTCTTCTGCTATCTCCTTCTCTTCTGATTCATTCTTTCTTTCTTTCTTTATTCTGCTGTTTCACTCCTACTTTTTTCTTTCTTTCGTTTGGTTTCTGTTCTACTTCTGATTCTTTCTTTCTTTCTTTCTTTCTTTCTTTCTTTCTTTCTTTCTTTCTTTCTTATGCTATCTGTTTCTCCCCTGCTTCTTTCTTTCTTTATCTCTTTCTCTTCTGATTCGTTTTTCTTTCTTTAACCCGTTTCTTTTTCTCTTTGATTTCATATTTGTCTTTTTTTTATTTTCTTTATTTGCATTTTCCAAATTTTACTTTCTTCAACTTCATTTAATTTCTTTTTATTTACCTTAATATTTTTCTTTCTCTTCTTTCACTTTTTCTTCTTCATTTCCGTAAACTTGTATGTTTTTTTTTTATTTGAAACTCTTCTTTTCATTTCCATTGTCCCCTCAGTTTAACTCATTCTCAACTTTGTTCTTCCCATTTTTGGTTTCGTGCCATATTTTTACAGAAAATTTCTTGTGCTAAGGAATAATTTACCAAAATCATTCAAATATTTAAAATTTAAAACGACAGTCAAAGGAAACGCCAAATCACATTATGGTCTTTTGTTGAGGGACGACAAGCAGCAACGAAGAGAATAGAGCTAGAAGAAGAAAATAAAAAGAGGGAGATGAGGTGGGGAAGTTGTTAACTCAACAACAACAACAACAATAAAAACATCACCACCAACAACAACATCAACAATACTACTACTACTACTAAAATAATAATAATAATAAGAAGAAGAAGAAGAAGAAGAAGAAACAAAAGAGGAACGTGGAGATAATAAGGAGAGGACAAGAAAGACTTGAAAGGGAGCCTAAACAAAAAACAAGTATAATAATAATAATAATAATAATAATAATAATAATAATAATAATAATGAAGAAGAAGAAGAAATATGCAGAAGTCAGTGGACGAAAAGGGGGATAAGAGGGAGGTAGAAATAATAATAATAATAATAATAAGAAGAAGAAGAAGAAGCAGAAGGAGCAGAAGTAACAAAAGTGGAGGCAAAAAGGAGAGGACAAAGGAGATTTGAGAGGGAGTCCAAACAAACAAAAAAACAACGATAATAATAATAATGAGAAGAAGAAGAAGGAGGAGGAGGAAGAGAAGAAGAAGAGGAAGAAGAAGAAGAGGAAGAAGAAGAAGAAGAAGAATGACAAGAAGAAGTATGGAAACCGTCATGACAGAATAAGTCTTTATCAAAAGAAATCAAGAAGAAAAAAAGGAGAAGAAAAAGCGGAAACTGTTAACCAAACAATAAAAGCAACAAAAAGCAACAACAACAACCACAACAACAATAAGAAGAAGAAAAAGAAAAAGAAGAAGAAGAAGGAAGAGGAGAAGTAGAGGCAAATATGTTCTGCATGATTTCCATTTGGTTTTTACCGTGGCTTCCTTACATGTTTACGTAACAAGTGCTATTTTCTTCCTGTTCAGCAGTTGTTTCGCCCAGTAACTTGTGCGGTGACATTCCGGCGATATGAGATGTTGGTCACAACTCAAAACACGTGCATATAGTTCGTCACGTAGGCATTTAAAAGCGCGCGAATTTGCAGGTATATATAGACATGTGCACGGAAACGCGAGTATTAACGGGCGGTAGCGGGTCATTACGACTGAGTGGTGAGTACCAGCCTCCCCGAATGCCAGCTATTTCTGGCTAAGCTTAGTATATAAATATTGATAGGATTCTAAAGAAATAAATCTATATAAATATTTATTTAGCCCGAAGCAACAAGAAATTGGACGGAGTGGAAATTAAAAAAAGTGCATTATACCAATCTTTCAAGCAGAGAGGGACTACCTATCAAGAATTCGAAAATTGTGGTCTGCAGACTAGACTAGGACACAAACACAACAACTTCAACCACTGTAGCGGATCGAGGTTTTATGCAATGACGTGCCAAGTCATAGTGGATGAGTGCTACTGGACCTTGACGCCATGGAAATGACTAGATTTTTATCAGTTGTGCGTTGACCTGTTGAGTCAATATGAAAATCAATGGTGCTACGCATAAGCGAGGTGAATTATCAGAGTTTGAACGAGGCAAATTAGTGCGTCTTTCGATCTGGGGGAAGAAGGGTATTTGCGCGTAAGTGAATATAACGATACCGACTGGAATTAGAACTCCGCTCTCCGATTTCCAATTCCGAGCCGTTATCCATTACACCACCCGCACATTCAAGCATACAGCACCTGATATTTCCAAGCGGTCACTCATCTAAGACTCGACGTTTTTAAACTTCGGTGATCGTACGATGTTTCATCCTGATATGGCCATAAGCTTTCACCGAATACAAGGCCCAAGAGCCATTTAAGGGATTTACTGAATAAGGTAGTTTTATGCACGTAAAAAAAAGGATATGTAAGTAGGTAACAGTTGACCCTAGATTTAAAGAAATTACGACTGGAAGTCTGTTCCACAAAGCAGTTGTCAGATTGAAACCTCCTTATTACCAGCGGAATACGAATGTTATTAGGATGACATGGTGGGTCTTAGTAAAGACTGGGTAGCTCCAGCCCAGATACAGTAGCAATACCTCACATTTGGGTCTGATCTAACTCTTCCAAATTTATAACAGAGTAGATAGCGTCAGGTACTTTTGGGGACTGTATAAGGAACTGGCCATTTTGCCAACATCTTTAACAATAGGTCGTTTGAGATGACTCCTAATAAACATCCAACGCAAAATTCTCTTCGAGAGTGTAGCCATTAATCGGGATTGGAGAAAAATAAGGGTCCGCTCAGGGATGATGTTTAGTTTTTTTGAGTATTGAAATTTTAATTAGGTTGTTAGAGCTAGGTCAGATGAATTTTCACGGCCTCCCCACTAAGACAGGATGTGACACATACGTATGCATATGGGCCAAGGACAAATATTTTTGCCCAGTCCCCGCAACCACTTGTCACGCTGGCATCGATATTTCACCAACCACCTCCCAACTCTCTTACTGCAATGAAGAAGATGCAAGATGAAGGAGAAACATAGCTCCACTTACAACACAGAGGCATTAACCATGCCTCAGAAAATCGTCATTGTTAACTCCTGTGCTAGGTAAGTTACAGGTATATTTACCCGGCCTCCCCCAAAAGGCCGTGTGTGACACAAGATCATTTTAACATGAGGAGTACCATAGGTATACGTATGCATATGGTCCAAGGACAAAAACTGCTGTTTTGCCCAGGTACAGTTTGGGGGTGAGGATGGAGGGTTAAACTATGAACTGTGGTATCATTTGCATAAATGTTTACTAACGATCTGATAGAAGCTATTACCGACCACTGTGGACAACGCTGTAGCGTATTACGTGTACTTAAAGACCGTGACCAGTTACGTCTTGAGAGGTCTGTAGTAGCTAACAAGCGACACTGGATTGTCACATTCACAATCTATACAGGATGTACTTGACGCATATCTAGCTAGTCGGTTCTACATTTTTTTTTATCTTTCCTGAGATACTTGAGAAGATCCAACAGAATATTCCTGTTAATACCATGATACCAGATACTGTGACTCACCAGGACTCGTAACGTTGCTAATTAAACCCAGGGGTATGACAACGTGTGGTGTGTTCCGATGTTATAGTTATTTCGGGCTAGTAGTAGGATTCTGATTTAACACCAGGAGGGCATGAACCTATGTTATCAACAAGGCACCGTGTAAACGGGTGGTCTTTCCATATTGGTATGAGCTGTGTTCACGTAACATAGGTTATTTCCAATAGTCCGCCTAAAGAGTTCACTAACCGATCATTGTTACGTTAAATCGCTTCCTGACCATTTGCACCGATTCATATATTCCATGTACCCACTACAATGATGGGTTATTCCAATAGTAAAACATCGTCATCGGGCCTAAAGAATGCCGTGACAACCACGTTCCAGCGACATGAACTTAATCTCGCATTTATAGAAAGTGCGGGGAGGTCTATCCACTGGGAAGATCCTGTACCTACAAATATCAGTGATATTTTTCAGTGGTCTTCCACGTCGTGTTGCTGCAATTAGCCAGGCTAGAGGGAGTGCTATACGACACTAGGCATTGTATAGAAATATAGATATTTAATGGGATTTGCTTACGCATGCATAACCACCATCTATATGTTAAATATTAAGACTTATATCACTAAATCATTATCAAAATGAAATTTAATCTAAAAAAAAAGTCTTATCATCTAAAATATTTTCTGGCTTTAAATAACCTGAAAATGGTTGGTAAACGGTAAAAAACGAATCAACCAAAAAAAAAAAAAAATGGCCGTCACAAGGAAAAATTTTGAAAATAATCAAGTGTGATGACTGTATTTTGTTATTTTTAGAAAAAAGTTTCTACTTACCTTGAAAAAATCAGCATTTGAAATTCAATCTGAAGTTGATTACCGACAATTGTCAATAGGCCAAACTTATATTGTTACCTGTACTTATTCGGAAATAATCATATGGTGTGACGCCCATATGCATTACAAAAGTACTAGGTATGTAAGGATTTGCGGTCATAAAACTAATAATAATATAAACAAAAATAGACAGTAGAAAATAATGCGTTTAGATGAAGAGGAAGAAAAAGGAGATGGAGGGGAAAAAGAATAATCTATTGGAACTACAGGCGTACACACGTACAAACACATATCAACTCCAAGCATGCACGTACTGGAACACTCTTGCTGACGGCCGTATCACGTTGAAACAAAGGTTCTCGCATAATCCCGAAGTTAAGCAATGCGGAGCCTGGTCAGTACCTAGATCGTGGATCGCGTGAGAATACCAGCTCCATTAAGCTTGGGTGAGCGTGTGGTGCAATCAATAATGACTCGGAGTCGAATTATCGCAAACACATTCTCCCAGTCTAAATATATTTTCTGGCTTTAGATAACCTGCAAGATGTTGATAAGCCGTAAAAAATAAATCAATCCATCATAGGAACTCGTATTTCTTTAGATGACACTCTCACACTGCTAAATCAAAACGAGATTTTGATTGGTTCGTTTTCTACGGTTTATCAACCCTTTCTAGGTTATTTAAAGCCAGAAAGTATTTTTAGATTGTAAGAATTTTGTGTGGTCTAGTTGCACAAGTCTTATTAATTAACCCATAGCTTGAGTGGTGAGGTAAATTCATACATTTCCCAACTGTATTTGAGTGTAAGTAAATATAACGATTGCAACGGGAATTGGAACTCGGCTCTCCAATTAAAAATACCGAGTGATTATCCATTACACCACCGGCACATCCAAGCTCACAGCTATTAGTATTACCATCTAGGTACTGACCAAGCCCAGTATTGCTTAACTTCGGTGATTGTACGAGAACCGGTGTTTCAACGTGATTTGGCATAAGCAAATGAAAATTTGAGCCGATAATCGTGAAAGGGGCATTGATTTTTTGATGTCGAGACATTGTGCTAGAATACAAGAACAACTTGGGATGACTGGCGACAGGTGAATTCATTCATTGTCAAATTTCATGCTTTTCCACGTGACAAAGCTTGAAACGAAACTAGGGTTAACTAACGGATGATAAAGAAAAGCTGACTTATAAATCTAACACCCTCACCACACACACACGTAGTGTTATTCTATGCCTCAGTTCTTTTTGGATACAGTTCCTTGAATATGAAACAAGGAATAGAAAAAAAATGGCGGCATCGGTATTGGTTTCTTTCCTTTTTACATTACACTTTTATATGGATCTAGGAAGTATATATTTAATTTAATTTCCTCCTTACAGAAACTGCATATATATATATATATATATATATATATATATATATATATATAATATGTTGTAGTGGTTCCAACGAGAGAAAAATATGTATATTAAAAAGAAGAGAAGAGGTGCCGCAAACGTTTTTTGTTGTAATGTGGATTTATTTAGAAAAAAATATTATGCTTTGTTTTACATAATTTTACTACGACACGTGTTTCTGGTCTCGCGACCGTCTTCAGGTAAAGTGGAGATTTCTACATATTATTAAAAAATAATATTATTAAAAATAATTAATTTTCTTCATGTTCAATGTGAGATATTCTCGATATGAGACATTCTCTGTTTGTGTGTTGGTAAAATCTCCACTTTTACCTGAAGACGGTCGCGAGACCAGAAACACGTGTCGTAGTAAAATTATGTAAAACAAAGCATAATATTTTTTCTAAATAAATCCACATTACAACCAAAAACGTTTGCAGCACCTCTTCTCTTCTTTTTAATATATATATATATATATATATATATATATATATATATATATATATATATTGCGGTGATGATTTTAATTATGCAATCTGTGGTATCATATTTCGGTATTCCATTGGCAAATTTCTGACCAAAGCTGAGTGCTTCTATTTGTGTATCTGATAGTTGGAATTTGGATAAGTTTGTTATTAGGTCTTTTCTGTCGACATTGGACCATTTGCTATTATTAGAAATTTACCACTGGAATACCGAAATATGACGCCACAGATTGCATAAT